ATATTAGCTTGCTTTCTTTGGGAAAAGGACATACGGTACTGACTATTACAATTGTGCTTCTTAATGAATGTACCAGAGATAAAATTATTCAGGAAGTTCACAAACCTAAGCAAATAAACTGGGGAAGTTTTTTTTAAAGATACTAGCCAAACTAGCTTACAAAAAAGAATTATATTCAAGCTTTTATCAGAATTGTTGATAAAAATGGGAATTTATTTTCAAGCGTATAATTTTGAAACCAGGTAGAGATAATTTCTACTGTTCAGGATATGAATGAAACTCTGGCGTATTTGAAGAGAACTCCCCTTGAGGAGTGAAAGGAACAATCATGGAGACTAAAAGAAGCACATACATATATAAAAGACAAAGGGGGATTCAAACAGATGCAAGAAGAAAAGGGAAAAAATAACAAAACGAACTCTTTATATTGACCAGTTCAAGATCTAGAATAGTATTTAAACTTGAACTTGTATTAGGAATTAAGAATATATATTTCAGGTATAACTGATATTTTAAAACACATATATTTTATTAGGTGGAGAGGGATCAGAGAGCAGAAAAAGACCCCCACTTATATTGGGAAAGAGTATTCCCTTGATAATTGATTCATTCTTGATCTAAGACTCAACAGGAAGGGAGGATTGGTTAGGAACAAAAAATAAGTTATTAAAAATCTAGAGGGGAGACTTTAGGTGAGGATGGATATGACTAGGTCTAGAAATTTCAGAGGAAAAAAGTAGAAACAAGATTGTCTCTCTTTATGTTCCAAAGAGTTCAGTGAATTAGGAAGGCTTCTGCCTAAGTTACATCTGAATGTTATTTTGTACTTCTGGATTAAAAAAAAAAAACCTTCAGCTGCTTTTGCCTAGATAATGATTCCTGCATTTCTCCATCAGGTTAATCTTTTTTACTTTTTTTGGAAGAATGTATTTTTAAGACATACCTTCTTTTGGGAACAATGTGTTTAAAGAAACATTTTATATAAGCAAAAAAAAAAAAAAAAGATTCAATTCACTCCCAAATGTAAGTTTACCACACATATTTGAGGGCCAGAATAAGAACATTGCAAAGTAAAAAAAAAAAAAACACAACCTCAATAAGCTTTTTATTTATGGCAATCAAATTTGTTGTTTTTAAACAATGAATATGTCAGAGTAACACTTCAATGGATAGATGCATAATAACATCTGGTCATAGTGTTATTTGATAAAGTTTCTGATAAAATCAATTGTATGACAGGCCAAACTAGCAAAGAATTGTTTTACAAGGAAGGGGTGGAATGCCATTGTTCATATAAGTGATAGATATCCTGGAAACAGTTTGTAATAAACATTATGGGCATGTTAAAACATACCAGCACTAAGTACATTTTTAAAATTCGTTTTTTAAAAATGTAAACAAAGAAGAAAGAAGTCTGCTTCATAGAATAGCCAAGAAATGGAAATGGAGCTATCGGGAAAGCCATGTTAACAGATGTGATGCCTATTATAGTACTTTTTCGTTTCCTTCTGTGACCTAAAGAACCCTCCATATTGTAAATAATCAAGTATCTTTGCAAAACTTCTTAGTTCCAGAAAATCATAACTTCATAGTCTTTTAAAGCTTTTGCAGAGAGAGGAGACTCATATATTTTAAGCCATAAAGTGTAAAAGAAAAAGGATTAATTGTACTAGCCAAAATTGCCAAAATGTCAGTGTTGATCTTGACAGTCTGGGGGAATGCAAAATAAGACAGTGGGGGTGCTTTTGCCTAGTTGCATACAGTCACTCTATTTTGTATGTAATCAATGTTCAGGGTTAATTATGAAAAAAAATGTTCATGAAAGATGCTAATCTTCAGATCATGAACAGGATTCATAATCTTAATATGTTAGATGTAGTCAGGTTTGTTTCCCAGAATAAATGTGTAAGCAAATAAAGCCCTTTTCAGCCTAATGTTGGAGTTGGGATTTAAGCATGTACAATACTTGAATTATTTTATAGGGAATGCTTTTGTCTCCTGGTTTACTTAATCTACAAGCTGACTTTTTTTTCTAGCCATGAGGATGCATTTGTATTGTTTTCAGGAAAATTATATAAACATGTTCATTAAGTCACCAGGAGTTGTTCAGCTCAAGGGAGGTTTTTAAAAAACTTTTCTTGTACATTAGGAATTCACATTTTAAAATAGAAATAATCATTCTTTTGCCTTTAACTCAGGCCTAGTGGTTAAAAATCAGAGAATATGGGTTCCCATAGCTATCTAATAAAACCCTTCTTCTGTAAAAGCAAGTTTATGTTTGCTGCCTAAGAGTTGGGTCTTAACCAAGGAGAGATGTTACCCTTAAGAAACCAACTTAAAAACCTATTATGTCACTCACATTTGTTTACAGCCAACATCCATTTTCTTAATGAGCTATTTCATTGCCTCTGTTTTGTCTGCATGCACCTTGTTTTTAGAGACTCCCCAGATTCTTCACCTGAGGAAGGCTCTCAGAAATCTTTCCTCATTCTTGCCTTTCCACGCTTTCCAATTCTTTCTCGTCCTTCTCTGCCCAAAGGGTGAGCCAAAACACAAAATCTTCCTTTCTTCTTCTTGCCTCCTGCACACTTGCATGTCTAGTATTTCAAGTGCTCCCATATTTATTTGTGCACCCACAGTGATGTGGTTTAAAGAAACCTCTGGACCTTGATTTCCAATAAATATACCATCTCCCTATCTGTCTGTGCCCTACACATATGAAGAATGTGGATGTGGTATGTAAGAGTTGTCATTTTGTTTCAGAATAAATATGTTAGGTTGGTGCTTACAAGAATAGGTAAAGATCAGGACATTGTTGATAAGCCAATGATTTCTGTCACAAGGCCAATTAATACAGAATACAAGATATGCAAAAACAAATTATTTGGGGGAGCCCTTAACAACATATTGTTCCTTTTGTATGTAGGGACAGAGCTGAGTCAGAGAAAGTTCAAAAGCCAAAAATTTCAGTTAGAATGCATCCATCCATATATCTTGAGCTTTAATCAATTTTAGCCATGGTATGAAGAATGATCTATAGACCAGACCAGTAGGTTTTAGGTGAACAAGTATAGCTCTTATTTTCAATTCATGGCATGTTCTTTTCTTTTTAATGGCACTTGTCATTCATCTCTTTGGACTGGTTAGATGTTTGAGAATGGCACAAAAAGAGACCATAAACCACAAAAATGAGCCTTGCTAAACTACAGTTGCTATAAGTTAGACAACAAATAAACTACATGTTAACCATGATTTACGGCCTTAAAACTATATAATATTCACAACCCCATCCACATATTGTACTATCACAGTGTTAGCAACTTGCATATCTCTGGACTGAGGAAGGGAGAGAAACCAACCGATAGTTGACCACCGTGTGAGGTTAAGTTGAAGCGTCTGTGTGCATGTAAGCAGGGTGCACAAAAGCCAGGAATCTTTGCCTGAAAGATTCCTTAAGGGAGGTAGATAAGAAGGAACTAAGCTGTTAAGGAAAGCAAGGAAAAATCTCACCTGAACCAGACAAAAAAAGCTGGGCCTGAGCACATTGAAACCCTTCCCCAAATTCCATCAACACCCACCAGACTTGTAATTTAACAAGGCAAGAGTAGCTGCCAGTCAAGGCCTTTGAGGGATAAAACAGATCATGAAGCCCTCCCATTCTTTGAGTTGTCTTTGGATCTAGACATTGTGGCTTCTGACTCTCTGGCTAGTGCCTGCCAGCCCAGTTGAGAAGGACATGGGTAAATGTGGATGTATATAAGTGTGGATGAATGTGTGTGTAGAACAAATATGAGGGTGGCTATTTTCCAGTATTGTAAGCTGAACTTGGGAGTAAATGTCACCTGCCTTAGTAAAAAAAAAACTATGTTTCACATCTGAACATTGGTTTAGTTTCCTTCCAGGTGATGAGTTTGAGCATGCTAATCAAAAAGCATGTATCTTTTCCTCCTCCTTGGATTTTTTAATAGAGAAAAACACATTGAAATTAATGGCGTAAAAATCTTAAAAGATGATACCTGCTATTGTTGTTTGCTTAAATCACAGGTTTTAGAGTAACATTGTTTTATTTTTCAAATGCTATAACAGGCTATGTGAATATGGAATTCTTATATATCTTATTTGTAATAGATTGGTCCATATATTGATTCGATTTCTCTGGGCTATGATATGTCAGTCAATGCAGGCATGGCTTTTTTGAAAAGTGGGTAACATATCTACCTTTGCATACTGTTCTGTCCATGTTTGCTAGTATGTTCTGTTCGCTGTTTGATAAAACTACATATAGCATTGTGAATTGACAAAAATAAACCTCCCTTCCCCATCATTTAGTCTATCAACAAACAAGGGAAATAGGGAGATTATTTTGGTTTGTTTAGAAATTCATCGGTTATGAATAATCTCATAATGTAGTTAGGTTGTAGATGAATTAGCTATAGTTCAGGTATGTGAACTCTGCTGATGGCCAAGCAATATGTATTATTTATTTATTTATTTATTTATTTATTTATTTATTTATTTATTTATTTATTTATTTATTTATTTATTTATCTATTTATTTTATACCCCCCCCCCAATCTATCCAATAATGTGACAATATTGTATTGTATATCATTTTTCATAGTCTGTTGCATTTCTGAAAATTTAAATGGTATTTCCCCCTGGTTCTCTAATATGAACGAATGAAATATTGCTGTGTTATCTGATAAGTATTCATAGTCTTTTTGACTGCCACTGGAGGAGATGCTTATACTAACATACATTATTTTGATCTGATGCAATATGCTTCCAGCTGGGATGATTAAATCTACATACAGTATGTAATGTGATGGCAAGTGTCTCTTTGGGAGAAGAATCATTTTATGAATTTGAATTGTTGCAAACCACTGTCCTAAAGACACTTATTCCTACTAAGCATACTGAAATCTATGAATATGCATGAATAGGACTCCACTGTGATTGATGTCAGTACAAAATATGTATTATGTCATTATGCTTTGTAGACAAACTCAGACTGTGACAGTGAATCCAGTTAGAAGGCGATCATCATCCAGGTTGCCTCTGGTAAGCATGCCATACCTGAGCTCTTCCTTATTCCTTGAGTTTAACCTGTTGATAACCATAGTTGGTTAGCTACTCCAATGAAGTACATTGAGAGATTATAATAAAAACTAGCATAAAGTAGATGAATGCTAAATATTGTAACAATATCCTCTTATAAAAGATAAGCATGCCACACAATATTTTAGTATTACACATTTTAGCTTAAGTTATACATATTCCTCTGCCTGTGCACTGAAATGTAAAATACCCAAACATTTTTCAATTAATTTCTCACTGCTTAAAAATATTTTGCTCAAAATTACACACAGTACTAAGTTAAAGGAGAAACAACAAACTGAACATTAAATTCTTTCAAGATTTTATATTCACCTGGATAATTTAGATTTAAGCACAGGACTAAACATTTTGAGAGACTTAAGTAGGTAATCCATTCTGTTAACCACATAAATATTGCTTCAATAGGATAGGAAAATATATATAAAATTTACCATATTTCACAATCTCTTTAATGTATTTTCAAGTGTCACTTATATTAGTGAAGCTAAGAATTTAGGAAGTATCTAACATACAAATTAATAAATTTCCATTTTAAATTTGTAAATGCTGAAGAAAATCTAAAGAATAAATGGGTATTATTCTCTTCTTTTTGAAAAATCCTCTTCAATATAACTTAGTATATTTTACAACAATGCATGGGTTCCTATAAGCTGCTTTTTCAGGGAATCAAATCATGCCCGCTTTCCAAAATCACACATAACATAACTGTGATTCATTATCTAGCCAATCTTGAATTAGGCTTTTTTGACAATGCAAGCTTAAGGCAACTGCTAATGTACTGAATTGTTGACTAATCCAGGTTTTTCATAGTAGAGCAAATCCATAATAATAAGGTAACTTGAATTAGTTAATGCATATTTTTAATTTATTTATAAAAAATATTGGTCACCCACCTTATATCCAGTGGCTCTGGGTGAAATCAACTGGAGTGAAAGATGCTGAGTATATTTTACATAAAATTCATATTTCTATATTTGGTTGCACAGATATCTTGATTCAGTTTTCTTTTACAGGCTAGGAGCTCTGATATGTACCACCTCCTTCATCTCTGTAAAACTTTGTTGTACTTTTTAATTATAAAATTTTATCAGAATTGATATTCTTGTGCTTAGACTTAAAGTGCATGTGGATGTTAGAACTGGAGTAAAGTTTCTTTCTAATGGTTATCTATGTTTGCTTATTTCAATATGTCTCTAGCAGCCCAAACCACAGCCTTATATGATGCCTCCACCACCTCAGTTACATTACAATGGACACTACCCAGAACCATATGCATCCTCGCAAGGTAAAATTTCAGCATTGTTAGGAAACTGGAATACGTCACAAATGGAAAATGTGAAAAACATTTGGAGGATGTTATTGAGGAACTATTAATAGTTAGTGGTAGACAGTTCTTGGAATATAGTGAGTCCTCGACTTACACCACAATTGAGCCCAAAATTTATGTTGCTAAATAAAACATTTGTTAAGGGAGTTTTGTCCCATTTTACGACCTATCTTGCCACAGTTGTTAAGTGAATCATTGCAGTTGTTAAATTAATAACATTGTTGTTAAGTGAATCTGGCTTCCCCATTGACCTTGCTTGTCAGAAGGTCATAAAAGCTGATCAGATGACCCCTGGACACTGCAACTGTCATAAATATGAATCAGTTGCCAAGCATCCAAATTTTGATCACGTGACCGAGGAGGTGCTATGATTGTCGCAAGTGTGAAAAACCATCATAAGTCACTTTTTTTCAGTGCCATCGAGAGAGAGAACGGTACTAAGTGAATTGTTGTAAATTGAGGACTACCTGTAATCAGTGGTTGGATTCACAAAGACATAAAGCAGTATGTAAATTCAACAACTGCGGTTTGTTCAATAAACTGTGGTTAAACAAAACATGACTTAGAACATGCAAACTGCTTAGTACCTGAATAAGGAACTGATCATATAGCTGTAATATAAGAAGATAAGGTGTTGCCTTCTCCCAGATCAAATTGTTTTGTCTCATTAGGTTATTAGGCTGTTGACATTGGCAGCACCTTTCAAGTTCTCCAATTTAAAAAAATGCCATCGTATGCTAGCTTCTTGTAAACATTGTAGGAAGAGAGCAATGTTTTCTATCGGTGCAAAAAGATCTGGAGGAGTCTGCCGGTGCCTATTGTGACTGCAGCCCATGGAAGCCTTTGCCTTTTAATATAATGTGTTAGTTTAAAATGTTGGTATCCTGATCATGTGCTATCTGCATCCTTAAACTCTGGAGTTTGAACCTGGGCCTTTTTACAAAATATCTATTCTACCACTGAGTGTCTGCTTTGAGTTTCTAGCTGGAAGATACAACAGCATTCTTATAAGAGCAAAATAGAACCAGTGAACTTTATAATTAGTAGTCATACTATTCATATTTTAGAGCAGTGGTTCCCAAACTTGGCAACTTTAAGACTTGTGGACTTCAACTCCCAGAATTCTCCAGCCAGCTCTGGGAGTTGAAGTCCACAAGTCTTAAAGTTGCCAAGTTTGGGAACCACTGTTTTAGAGGGACAGTAAGAACTAATTACTAATTACTAAAAACTTGTTCAGCTGGTATGCAGGGAGGATAATTTTTCATTAAAACAACAGCACAAAGATTTCCTAATGTTGCCAATAAAAATAAAATAAAATAAAAAGTCTTTAAGCAATTTTACTGTGTTCTTCTGTTGAAAAAGGCACTGTGACTAATTACAATATAAGGAGACTGTTGGAAAGAAAATAACAACTGGAGACAGCTGCTCCCCCTCTCCCTCCCTCCCTCTCCCCCTCTCTCAGAGAGAGAAAGAGTAAATAAAAAGAGCTGTCTCCAGTTGATATCTCCAGTTGATATTTTCTTCCCAACAGTCTCCTGATATTAATTAGTCACACAGAATGCCTTTTTCAACAGAACACAGTAAAATTGCTTAAAATTGCAGAGGGAGGGAGGGAGAGTCAGTCTACTTCATGTTTTCTTTCTCAGGAGGGGAAGGCTGGGGGAAATGAGCGGACAGAATATTGTAGGTGAATCTGCAATATTGGTTTTATTTCAATATCTGTATATTTCATTAAATAGAAGCTGCTTTTGCCAGTGGGCTGGAATTAGATGTCTTGTACTTTAAATATTTTAATACTGACAAGGAAGTTGTCATTGATTTACCCATGAAGGCATGGCTTTATTTTTAATTTTAAAAATACATTGGTGAAGTGAAGGAATGATATTATGATAGCAACTTGTTTTGGGGTTTTTTTTGGTCTCTTTCTATCATTGTGTGGCTATAAATAAATGCCAACATTTATATTCCAGATAATCTCTATGGGACGAACCAGAATGGCTATTACTGCCATTCTCAAACTAGCTTGGACAGAGCACCGCACGACTACAATGGCAGAATCCGCAATGGCAGTGTCTACAGTGCTCACAGCACAAATTCCTTGAATAACCTGCAGCACTACATGCAGCCATCACCCATGTCCTCCAACCCGAGCATTACTGGCAGTGATGTCCTCCATTCAGATTATGTCCCATCCCATCGACATAGTGCTGTAATACCACCTTCTTATCGTCCTACTCCAGATTATGAGACTGTGATGAAGCAACTCAACCGAGGAATGATGAATTCAGACAAACAGAGTCATTCCATGAGAAACCTCAACATCGGCAATTCATACGCTTACAGTAGGCCTGATGCCCTGGTGTACAGCCAGCCTGAAATCCGAGAACATGCTAACTTTGCTTTCCCCCATTCTGGTCATTACCCATTTAATCTGAATTACAGCTTCCACAGCCAGTCCGCATATCCGTATCCCGCTGAAAGGCGCTTGGTAGTTGGAGCTGTGAGCGTTCCTGAGCTAACAAATGTTCAATTGCAAGCCCAGGAATATCCGGCACCCAACATCATGAAGACTCAAGTATACCGCCCTCCGCCTCCTTATCCTTATCCAAGACCCGCTAACAGCACACCAGATCTATCCAGACACTTCTACAGCAGTAATAGCAACCCTGATCTCATCACCCGACGGGTCCATCACTCCGTCCAGACGTTCCAGGAGGACAGCCTCCCTGTTGCCCATTCCCTTCAGGAAGTGAGTGAGCCTTTGACATCAGCCCGGCATGCTCAGTTGCAGAAGAGAAACAGCATTGAAATTGCTGGCCTGGCGCACAGTTTTGAGGCCATGAGGATTAAAGAGAGAACCATGTCAGCCTCAAATGCAGATGTGGCTCAGCCAAAGGCAATCCCTTCTGGGTCACAGACTTCTGTATTCCTAGAAAGAGCAAAGCAAGAAGAAATTGAGGAGCAAGAAGACCATGTGAATTATGGCCACAAGAAATCTCTTTCAGATGCAACTATGCTCATTCATAGCAGCGAGGAAGAGGAAGAGTGTGAAGACGAAAGCAAGGCTAATCCAGCTCTGCCATTCATCAATGGAAAACCCCAGCTTCCTTCTCTCATGGCATGTTATCCAACTGAATCTTTATTGAACTACCCTTATAGTTCTGTTGCTTCATCTCCTGGTCCTTTACATATACATGAGCCAAAATTGCACATTACTGAGACTGACAAGAGGGTAAAAGATGTGAGTCCCTCACACATCATGGGTGACTCTCAGGTGCTAAGGAGAGGAGATGGACTGTTAACTCCATCTGTGTCAGAGTCTGACTTAACCATTTCTGCCCGGTATAGAGTACGGAAGGATTCCGTAAAGAAGAGACCAGTGTCTGAATTATTGTCAGGGAAGAAGAATATTGTAGAAGGGCTACCTCCTTTAGGGGTGAGTTTTCTGAAGACCATCTTCTCTTCTTTTTTTTATGTCATATTCGAAATGTTCCTCATGTGAATCAAACAGGAAACCAGTGGCATCATAAGTATACGTCTCTATTGGATTTGTCTATTGACAGCACAGCAATGAACATGGGACTGAAAATATGAAAAGAATATGGTTTATTTTCAAGCTATGGTCCCTTTCATGGCCTGGAGAAACTAGTATACACATGTTAACTTTATGAAGATCTCACGTTAACGCTCACATAGAAGTAGATCCACATGAATTTTTTAATGGTCCTACATCTCAGATATAGCTGTTATGATTTCCTCATTACTTCATGAAAAGCTTATTATGTAAGTTTATGTCATGTTATGGACATGTCATCATATTCTACTGAAATGCATCAAACATTGCATAGATAGATTGATTGATAGATAGATAGATAGATAGATAGATAGATAGATAGATAGATAGATAAGATAGATAGATAGATAGACACACACACACACATACACACATACACACAT